GACAAAGAAGGGACAAAGCTGGAGTCAGGTGGAGCCCTTATGGTCCTGATGGAGGAAGGATACTGCTCAATCAATGTAGCACATTTACTTACCTACTGGGAAGGATGATGTCAATTTCAACACCACTGCCTAGCAACCCATTGCTTGGATTGTCCAGGGTTTGGTGTTTTTCTGGGCTGTAGCTACTTCTTGAAGTAGCTGACCCCTGAGCTCTTTGTTTTTGGTATGGCCATGTCCCAGCCATGCCACAGCTCTACACACGAGATCAATTTCCAGCTTCAAGGGCTCCCAACAATCCTGGGTAACCCATCCCCCCAGGTCTACCAGCCAGTTAATAGTACATTCAGTTAATCATAACAGTTAAGCCAAGGAAGTAACCTTCTACAGACCTGAGTGTGGAAGGGTGAATGACTAAAAAAACGTATTATCTATCTATGAACTTTTTTTTTTTTTTTTTTTTTTTTTTTGGTACCAGGGATCAAACTCAGGACCTTGCCCTTACTAGGCAAGCACCTGGGCTGCTGAACTAAATCCCTGGCCCCTCTGCATATGAACTTTAAAGTTTGAGAAAAGTTGTAAACTACGGTGCATGTCCACCCTCGGCATCAGGAACACCTGGGAATTCGTTAGAAGTGTAAATTATTTACCCCACCCCAGATCTACTAAATCAGATGCCCTCTGGGCTAGTAATTTAACAAAATTTTCACACCAAGTTTGAAAACTGCAGATCTAAATCATGATTTCACCATAATTTGAGAATTATTAGTCTAAGTCCTTATCCAGCCTTCAAGCAGTTACCATTTCTAGTTTTAATTTACAGCATATGATTTTTAGCATCACATTTCTCTTTCTAATGCAGTGGAAGGAAGTTCAAGAGGGTAAAGGAGAAAAGCCCATTAAATTCTATGGTCTAAAGTATGGTGGAATATGCTTAGGACCAGAATTGGAAGATTCCTCCTTTTTTCCAAGGTGAAGATGTTTTGGAAGGGCTTCTTAACTGAGTAAACACAATAGCTATTCTAGAATAGGATTTACTCACTTCTGGTCTTCTAAATTCAAAAATACCTCCATCTCTGGTAATTGCAATCAACAACTGCCAAGCACAGTACGTACGGCTAGGTAAGCACTGCTGGAGTTCATTTCTGGAAGCTCCCCAAGGATTCAGCTCCAGATATTTCCAAATATTAGGGCAAAAGGAAGCACCCTTCAGTTTTATAAATATAGAAATCAAGGTAAGGATTCCCATGTTTTTCTCTAAAATGAAACCCCATAAAACTGCTATTTTTAATGCATTATTTGAAATTTTTCTTAGAGCTTTTACATCTATTTAAATACTACCAGGTACGGGTTTAAAAGGCTATTTTGAGGACATTAAATAAGGTCACTTAAAAAACTGTCTTTAGTAGTCATTTGACTACTAAAGAATAATAGGTTTTTAAATTAGGGTACTGTATTTTTATTTTTTTCTTTTTGATTTGTCTCGTAATACTGAGGATTGGATCTAGAGCCTTTGCACTGAGCTGTCTCCTCAGAACTTCTTTCATTTATTTATTTATTTAGTTAGTTATTTAAGGTAGGGTCTTGCTAAATCACGAAGTGCCCAGGTCATGCTTGAAATTGGGATCCTCCTGCCTCAGCCCCTCAGAGTGCCATTTCTTTTCTTGAACATATTTGTGCATGGCATGATGTTCTAATATACATCGTAAAATGATCATTAGAGTCAAGCACACTAGACTATACATCATCTCATAATTATCCATTTTTCTTATTGGTAAGAGTACCTAAAACCTACTCATTGAATAAATTTCTAGTATTCAAAAAGATATCAATAACTAGAGTCCTCATAGAGTATGTTAAATCTCCAGGCTCACTGGTCACCCTAACTTCAATTTTGAATCCCTGACCTATATCTCATATTTCTTACTTGGCACTAGAAACCATCATTCTATTTTCTGTTCCTACAAGTTGCAAACAAAGTGTATGGTGATTATTTCTTTGAAAGTTTATTCTAGTAAAAGGCCTGTTTCCATTAATCACCCTCAGAGGAGTCCCCCTCACTTGGGACACACTCATCCTACCATTCTTGCCACTTTCTAAAGCCATTCTGGGAGTCCTCTTTCCTAAGTGTCTCTATAATCATGATCAAAAGTACAGGGAATGGTGCTGGCAAGTGTCACCCAACAGAATGGCACGCCTGTAAATCTATTCACGTAGATTTGGCGTTGTATTATTCCAGCTCTTCTCCAAAGTCAAAATGACCGTGAGATTAAATGTTTTGAATAAACTTAGAACATCCAGGCAGCCACAACTGCTCAACTAAAGACACCCACGAAAGAGGAATTGCAGAACTGCTTCAGAAATTGACAAGAACAATGAGGTGTGTGTTTAAAGTAAGAGGGAGGATTCTTAGAGGTATTATAGCAATGTATCTTTTACTATATTTTAAAAAGTTTAAACATTGTATCTGTTGATCATACCTCATATACCTTTGACTTTTAAAAAGATTCCACACATAAATAAGATCATGTTGTATTTTTCATTCTCTCATGCTCATTTTACTTGTATAATTTCTTACAGTTTCATACATGTCATTACAAATGATAGAATCCCTTACTTTAAGGTTCCATTGTGTGTCTGTTTACAATTTATGTATCCATGCACCCACCAATGACTACTTGAGTTATTTCTATATCTTGTGATTCTGAATAATGTTGTAATCAATTTGAGAGTGCAGCTAGCTCCTGGGGTCCTGACTTCAGTATATGCCCAATACATTACTCAGCCTTTGTTTTCTGGGAAAAAATACATAACATAAAGGAGTAGAATAGCAGAAAGGCACTGCAGAGGAAGCCACTCACCTCACAGCAATGAGCAGAGACAGAAGGCGGGAGCTGGGACAAGCATACACACTTCCAGGTCACACCCCAAGTGACTCACCTCCAACCAGACCCCAGCCTACCCAAGCACACTCGTCCACTGTTAGGGTTTAAAAACTGATGATCAACTTAACACCAGCTGAATTGAATGGGTATGGTGCTGAGTGTAGAAGGCCCACCTCAGGAAAGTTGCCATAAAAGGAGAAGCATAAAAGAAGAAGAGAGAGGGGCTGGGGATTTAGCTCAGCGGCATAAGAACCTGCCTTGCAAGCAGGCGGTCATGAGTTCGATCCCTGGTACCGATAAAAATGAAAAAGACAAAAAAAAAAAAAAAAGAAGAAGAAGAGAGAGAAAGAGTGGGGCATTGTGGGTTCTTCTAAGTGTTACTATTTCCAGCCATTGGTTCTCCTGGAGAAGCTCCTTGTCTAGATTCCTTGATGTGAATTCAGCCATTATCATCGGAGGTGCTGGGGACACCAAGAGTGGCTGTGGTTCACTTTGGGGGAGCTTTGTTTCTTACACTGAGCATCGATTCCTAGCTCTGGAGGGGAAGATGTGTGCTATTTCATCTCCAGGAGAAGCTTGTCATGCTGGCTTCCTGGTATGCACTTGACTCACCATTGGAGGAGCTCAGGACTTCATTAGCTGAGGACGACTGTGGTACTTTTCAGGGCAGCCCTGTGGGTCTTAGTTTGAGCACAACTTCTTAGCTCCAGTATACAACCCTCAAACTACTGGCATAGACCCTCAGCCCTCCTGGCATAGACTTTCTAGCTTCCACTACTGACCTTTGGGGCTTCTCAGTGCAGAACCATGAAGCAGGCTTGCATGAGTCATTGCCATTGGCTCTAGGCCTCCAGCTGGACTCATGGGTGGCAGTGTCACAGGCTCTAGGTTTTCAGGTGGACTTATGCAGAATGTTGCTGGGAGATCCAGGCCCTTGAATTTTCTAGGTCTTTAGTGTTGTGGACAGATTTCCTGCACTTTCTTGTATTTAACTCTGGATGACCATCATAAAGTAATATAAATTCTGTGTCCTGTAATTGTTCTTCTTGAAACCCCTGACTGCAACATCCACGAACTCATTGATGGAGTGCAGCACCCCCATGGTCCATCGTCTTTCCTGGGACATTTTACTTTACTTTATTTTTATTTATTTATTTGTTTGTTTGGTAACGGGAATCGAACTCACGACCTTGTGCTTGCCAGACAGGCGCTGAAGCAGCTGAGCTAAACCCCTGGTCCTATTTTTGTGGGACATTTTAAATCTCAACCACAACATCCAAAAGTGAGATTGTTGTGTCCTATCTGGACACTAGCCTCAGCACTGACATTTTGAATATCATACCAAGAGCCCAAGCCGTAAAAGAAAAAAACAAAAGACTAACAGGATTTCCTTTGAACAGTAAAGAAAACCAAATGTAAAAGCAGTCGATGGATTGGGAGAAAGTATTTGTGAGCAATATATCTGGTAAGGGGTAAGCATACAAAAGTTTTAAAAAACTCAAGTACACTGAAGAAAACGAAACGAAAGTACCACATGCATATCCCAGTGACCCAATGGGCAAAGGGTGTAAATGGACCTCTTTAAAGGACACACACATGGCAGAGGTACAAGAAAAAGTGCACAGCGTCATTAATGAGAGACATACAAACCCCGGCGAACTATTCAGCTGTGAGGATGGCTATTTCCAAAACGCAAGAGGCAGCAAGTGTTGGTCTGGCGAAAAGGGAATCCTGGAGCTCGGTTGGTTGAACTGTAAGTTGATACAACTTACACAGAAAGCAACATAAAGGAACCTTTAAAACATTAAAGCCAGCCAGCCCGGCCTTCTCAGTTCTTTGTGAAGTTCAGAGTTCTCTGTCGAAAGAGGCCGTCAGAGGTCAAGGCTAGGCCGGCTGCCGCGATCGCTCGCGGGCTCACTCTGGGGGGCGCACAGGGGGATCCCGTCCCGCAGTGCGCGGCTCCTGCGCCTCCTCGTCCTCCACCCGGCTGGGCCAGAGGGGGCGCCGGGCACAGGAAGCGCCTGCGAGCGAGGGAGCCGGCGCCTGCCGCCTCCTCCGGCCCGGCCCCCGGCCCGCCCCCGACCCACCCAGGCGGCGATCGGGGCGGTTCCGGGTCCTGTGACCTGCAAGCCTGGGAGGGCAGCGGGCTGGGCGGTCACTGCGAAGTTTCCGCAGCAGCCGCGGGGTCCCCACCAGCTCGCCCGGAGCAGCGGCCCGGAGCAGCGGCGGGGCGGACGCGGACCCATGGCCGGCGGGGGAGCCGGGGCCCCGGGGGCGGTGGAGGCCTCCGCAGCGCCCGACACCCGCGAGCACCTCTTCAAGGTGCTGGTGGTCGGCGAGCTCGGCGTGGGCAAGACCAGCATCATCAAACGCTACGTGCACAAGCTCTTCTCGCAGCACTACCGGGCCACCATCGGCGTGGACTTCGCCCTCAAGGCTCTCAACTGGGACAGCCGGACGCTGGTGCGCCTGCAGCTGTGGGACATCGCGGGTAAGCGCGCCCGGGCGGAGCGCAGGCGCGGGGCTCGCGGCTCCCGCTGGCTCTGTCCCGCCTCCTGCTGGTCTCCGACTCCCGCCCCGCCTGAACTCCGAGAACGCGGAGCCGGGGCCGCGCAGCGGCGGGGCCCCTCCAGCCAGGCTCGGGCCGGTGCGCGGGGCGCAGCACTGCCCCCACCTGCAGGAACGGGGGTGGGGCAGCCTTCGGCCCTGGGCCTCCCTGTCCAGGCTGCCCGGGCTGCAAGTTTGAGCTCTGAATAATGCGGGGTTGTAACACACCGGGACCAGTTGGGGCGTGCAATCCCTTGCAGGGGGATGAGGGGTTTAGATAGGGCCACTGGCACCGACGTGACGTGCACACCCCGGGCTGCCCTTTCGGGAGCGACACCCACCAAACTGAAATTGGGGGTGCTTTCGTGCACCGTTTTCTTCCCCCATTTTGGATCTGGTGCTGTGGTTTTGCGAGGCTTTCCTTTTTTCCCCGGACAAGGAGGGGAAGCCAGGAAGACTATTCCAGAAGTTTTCGCTGTGGCTGATGATAATAAACCAGGAAGAGTTGGAGCTCGGAGACCAGCTTGGCACTGAGCCCGGCCTCGGGGAGGGAAACTCCGCTCCTCAGTTTGTTCTGCAGCTGGGGGGCCAGGTCACCTGGGGAAGATCGGGGAAATTTCCCTGAAACTTTATATACCAATTCCCTTAACAAGCGTCTGCCCTGGCTGTGGCCCCTCCTCTCCATCCCACAAACCCTGTCTGGTCTCGGTGGCTTTGTGTTTGGTTTCACTCTGGAATCTCTGAGGGAAGAATGGTCTCCTCACTGTAATTTTAAGAATTGCACTCTGACTGGAGGGGCGAGTGGGATATGGACTTTCTTTAAAGAGAGGTGAGCTGCTGGAAAGTTTAATGGTAGCAAAGAAAATGGTAGCAAAGGTTATCCTGCTCAGTAAGTGAAGCTCAGTGTGCCACAGGTCATTTGAATAGGAGTACATTTAGTTTGGAAGGTGCCTTGCAGTCCTCCCTACAAAGCCTGCCCTGAATCTCACAGAATGAAGGGCTCCCCAGCTGGGATCTGTGGGGGGGAGGGCGACGACCCTTAGCTGCTGTCTGCTAGACAGTGGTGCCTGCATTTACCCTGGTACATGGAGGAAGTGTTGGAGAATTATGGAATTGACTCTCATTTAAGAGCAGATTTCTGCTTCCTATAAAACAGTGCATTCATGCACATGAACTCCTCAGAGAAAGAGATAATCATCCTTGGGGTAAACTTTTTCTCTCTGTTTTTTTTTTTTTTTTTTTTTTTTGGTTGCCCAAAACCAAAAGTACGTTGGAAAAGTCATCTTTAAAACCAGTCTTCTTTTGAAACACTTCCTGCTGTTGCCCAGAGCAGTGGTGAGTGTTCTACTACCCCTTGAAAAGCCACACATTCGAAATTCGCCTCACCATGTGATAATCACCATCCAGGACACTTCAGTGCGGCCTTTCCACAAGCATGACTCTCGCTCAGCCTTCTCATAAACTTGTGGTCCACTCGGGCTCCTTCTCTTTGTGGATTTGCATGGCATTTAGATGTTAGATTATAATTGACTGGTACTGCAGGTACATGAGAATGAAGGCTAAAATGTTTATGGCAAGGGCATTTTTAAGCTGCATGGTAAAAAGCTTTTATTTGGAACCTTAGGAAAACAAAAATCCAAGTAAATTTTCCTTCTGGGTGTCACCTCTTCTGTTTTCATCTTTTTGTTGTTGTTCAGTGGTTTTGTTTTTTGTTTGTTTTGTTTTTTGTTTATGTGCATATGGATGTGTGTATGTACAATATTGGTGATTGAACCCAGGGCCTTCATATTCATAGTTCTCCAGTATGGTCTTTTTATTATTATTATTATTATTATTATTATTGTTTTGTTTGTTTGTTTTTTCTTTTTTGAGACAAGTTTAGCTAAATTGCTAAATTGCCCAGGCTGGATTCAAACTTGGGATCCTTCTGCTTCAATCTGCTAGATTATAGGTGTGACAGTTCTGTGCCACCAATGCCTGACTTTTTCGTCCTTCTGGAACAGATCTAGATAATCAGCAGTAACACTTACTCTGTGTTTATCAAACTCTGCTAGATACCTCCCAAGATAGGGTATCTTTGCACTTGTGCCTAAATCCAGCAGCAAAACACCGTTGTACAATCTCCAGAGGTATTTCTGGTTGCTAACTACTAATGTTTCAACAAGAACAGTTGTATCATTGAGCATGTATATATCAGTGATTGATAACACTAGAAGTTAACTTCTGAGATCATTAGAAATTATTAATTTCTTTTGATAAGATTTTGAAAGATGGAGTCTTAATATAAGGATAACAAGTGACAAAAGTAACTTAGCTTCGGGCTCGAGTTTGGGGAGCTACATCATAACTGCTTAGTTTGAATATTTGAGCTCTCAGTGAATCTTAGCTCATGTTATTTGAATTATGTAAGAATGATGTAATGCAGGACACGCCAGAAATTCTTTCCCAAGTCTACATGTTTGGCTACTAAATTCTCAAAAAATAGAAATACTCCTTGATTGCAAAACAGGAGTGAAGCTATAATAATAAAAAGACCAGACTGGAGAACTATGAATATGAAGGCCCTGGGTTCAATCACCAATATTGTACATACACACATCCATATGCACATAAGTCATCCATATGACTAAGTTAATGTTTAGTGTTAATACTAGCTTGTTTATATTTTTGCAATTTTGGAGACCTGGTAGGAAAGCAAGACCGTAAAGAAATTATGTCAACAATCTCTATACTAGAGAGCTTTGGCAAGTATAATAATCTAGAATTGTCAAATGTTTCCTGTCAATGTAACCAAGCAAATCTAGCTAAACTCTTCAAATTAGGAACCACAGGTAGAGGCCTTAACAAATCTTTTTTAGTGAAACTGAAGGAGCTTATTTTAAAAATAAAGATATACTTTAATGCCATTTTCATATGAAATAGTGGCTGCCTTTTACATTCATCCTTACTTTGAGATTGTTGCTTGATAACAAGTGAGGTATGTTAATGTGATTAAGTCTTGAATAACATTTAAAGGGCATGTAATAAATGCATACTGAAATTAAGATGGAGCTGGAGAGATTTCTGACCTTTTAATGTTTACTAAAGATAAAGTATTGGGGTTACCACAGATTATAAGCTTATTGCTTAATAGCAAATGATAGAATTTTGAAGGCAGGTAAAATGGTTAATGTAAATTAGTCCTTCAATGTATTAACTTGGATCTACTGTATTTTAGACTTCATGTGTTGAGGGAAGTGAGGTGTAATAAGTTTTTGAGCCAAAGAATAAATTGGGAACAAGTGGCTTTGAAAAAAGTTCATGTGATAATTTTTACCCAATTGAAAAATACATGGTTGGAAGATTTTATAAGCTATATTTAAATTCATTTTCTTCCTATTAATTCCTATCCTAAAAGAAGAATTTGGACCCTAATTTTCTTTTTCCACTTTGTACTTTGCCAGTTAGTATACCTGATAATCTTCTGTCTCTTTCATAAATCTCTTTTAAACATTCATGAAGAAGAATCTGTGGTACTGCCTTGAATACTTCCCTGGTCCTTGAAAGAGAATTGTGGGATAGTTAGCGCCATGGTTTATATCTGGATGACCCTCCAAGCTTCAGGCTTGTGGAGGTGGGGTGTTTAGAAAGTAATTAGATTATTAGTGCACTGTTAGGAGGCTGGATATAGTGGAAACAGGGAGGATCACTTGAGATGTGGCCTGAAAGGGTGTATTTCTTTCTCTAGGTTCCTATTTGCCATGAGGTGAGCAACTTTCCTCCACCGAACCCTTTCTGCCTTGGAGCCAGCCAACTATGGCTAAAAATGTGAGCCAGAATAAACCTTTCCTCCTTTAAATTGTAGGTGTCAGGTTTTGTTTCCTAGTGATGAAAAAAATCACTAAGGCAGTGAGTTATCTGTTAGACGTGAATAAGCCGTACTTTGAGGAATTACTTATTTCTAGTCTCTGTCTTACACATCGATAGTCCAGTAAGTTTCCTTTTGCTTATGGTGGCCAATACATACCCTTATTCAAAAGGCTTTTCTGAATCTGTGTAATATAGAAAGGATCAGGCTTTTCTCCAGTCTTGCCATCCTATCCTTATTCAGTCTTGTATCCAGCACAAATTTAAAAGCCAACATCTTGAAATCACATTTGCTGAGTTTGGGACTTACATTCACAATTGCTAAGGCGGGCCGTGGTCAGCCTGACAGTGTCACTGGATGGAATTTGATGAAGTGGCATCAAAAAGAGGATGAGGACTTCAACCTCCTCCCACCCTATGGAGTATACTCATCCACTCTTGTTGCAGAAGCAGTTGCAGGATGTGTCTGTGGGAGGGATAGGCAGATTATTAAAGAGAAACAAAACTACTCTCAGAAATAAGAGTGCAGGTGCTCCAGTGTGAGGTGCATTAAGATTCGAAGTTTCAGGTATTTTTGTGATCTTGGTATCTTCCCAAGACAGATGTTCTAGGATAAACGTTCCTGGTGTTTTGTTAGGTTACCCATTCATAGGGTCAGATAAAATGTAAACCAGCATGTGTTTGAAATATGGTGATATGGTATCTAATTAACAGTGTTATTTGCTGGAGAACAGAAATCTGGAATTTGTGAAATTGTATCCCTGAAAAGATACCAGCCCGATTGAAAGAATTGCTGTATCTTTTAAGATTGTTAGGAGCACAAGACTGGTTTTTAGAAGCTTAGAAGGAAAAACCAGGCCTAGGGGTAAAAAAGGCACTGAAGCTTGGGTAACTATGAGTGTTAAAGCTACAGTTTCACTAAAAGTGCAATTTAAAAATTATGGTTTCCTTTTTTCCTTTCTACCCATTTTTATTTCTTCAGTTCGACTTCATTAGCACCGTTGTGTTAGTGCTGATGGAAATTCTCCTGCCAGAGATAAGTCTGTGGCCTGTCCTTTGTCATTATGCTACCATTCTTTTTTTTTTTTTTTTTTTTTT